GGGGGACACAGATCCCAAAATTCCCTCCCAGGGAGCAGACTGGGGGGGTCAGATCCCAAAATTCCCTCCCAGGGAGCAGTTTGGGGGGCTCAGACTCCAAAAATGCCTCCTAGGGAACGGTTTGGGGGGCTCAGAGCCCGAAATTCCCTCCTAGGGAGCAGTTTGGGGGACACAGATCCCAAAATTCCCTCCCAGGGAGCAGTTTGGGGGACACAGATCCCAAAATTCCCTCCCAGGGAACAGTTTGGGGGACACAGATCCCAAAATTTCCTCCCAGGGAGCAGACTGGGGGGGTCAGATCCCAAAATTCCCTCCTAGGGAACAGTTTGGGGGGCTCAGAGCCCAAAACCACCCTGGGATCTGGTTTTTGGGGGGCCCAGGTCCATTTTAAGGGTGCTCAGACCCTTTTTAGGGTGCCCAGACCCATTTTTGGGGTGCCCAGAATCATTTTGGGGTTCCCAAGCCCATTTTGGGGTTCCCAAGCCCATTTTTGGGGTGCCCAGAATCATTTTGGGGTTCCCAAGCCCATTTTTGGGGTTCCCAAGCCCATTTTTGGGGTGCCCAGAATCATTTTGGGGTTCCCAAGCCCATTTTGGGGGTGCCCAAGCCCACTTTTGGGGTGTCCAGCTGCCTTACCCTGGTCAAACTGCCGCTGCAGACTCTCCATCTCCGACTTGTTGCCGCTGACCCGGTAAATCCCTTCGGTGCTCAGCCCTGCAGGGGACACCCCAAACCTCATTCCCATCTCCCCTCACCCCAAAATCCCGGATTTTTCCCTTCCCTGCCCGTCCCAGAGTTTGCCAAAGCTCGGGATTAACTTTAGGCTGGGATTTTGGGGCCTGAAGGGTCTGGGGTGGGACCCAAAACCCCGAGGTTGGTGCTTCTCCAGCAGGTTCCTCCTCCCAGGGGACAACAAATTCCTCCTCCCAGGGAATAATGAAGGATCCAGGGAAAGGGTTGATGCTTCCCAAAAAACCTGAGGAACCCCAAAAAAAGTCCTACAAACAGGATCAGCCCTGAAGGGTCTGGGATGGGACCCAAAATTCCAAGGCTGGTGCTTCTCCAGCAGGTTCCTCCTCCTGGGGGACAACAAATTCCTCCTCCCAGGGGCCACGGCGGGATCCCGGGAAAAGCCCCCCTTGGGTGGGTGGGGACCCTTCCCAAAAAAAACCCCCAAAGCCCAGGAAGGGGAACCTCACCCGTGGCCTCAATGTACTCGATGCAGCGCTCGATGAAGACGGGGATGGGCCGCTCTGGGGACACCACGCTGGCCAGGGGCACCCCGAAGTAGCTGCTCTCCCACGTGCTCTTGGTGATGGAGGGCCTGGGCTTGGGCTTTGGTTTCTGCAGGGAATCGGGAATATTTTTCCTTATTTCACCTCATTTTTGTTTTTTTTTTTTTTAAGGGGTTACGCTGGATTTCAGGCGGGGGGGAGTTTGGGTTCTTCCCAGCAATTTTTATTTTTTATTTTTGGTGCCCTTTTTTTTTTGTTCATTTTGAGCAGTTTTAGATCCGTTTTTCTGCTTTTCGATAATTCTGTTCCCGCTGGTTTTTTTCGCTGGTTTTGGGGTTGTTTTAACG